GCTGGCGGCCTGGGCCTCGCGCCTCGTGCGCAGGAAGGTGCTGGGGCGGCGGCGGCGCAAGGCGGCGCCCGTCCACGTGCGTCACGTCTACTCCACGCGCCGGCCGCTGCGCTCCACCGGCACCGGCGTCTCCGCTGACTTCTCCGGCTTCCAAGCGCCGCGCCCGGGCCGCGGGGCCGCCGCCGCCGCCTGCGCGCTCAGCGAGGCCGACCTCATGGACTTCCCCTGCGAGCGCTTCCTCGACAGCGGCGGCGGCGTTGGCGCCCGCCACGGCGACGAGCACCTGCTGCAGCGCTTCGCCGACTGAAGCCGGGACTACCGCTCCCAGCTGGCCCCTCACCGGCGCCTCCGTGCCGCAGAGCCTGCTGGGAGCTGTAGTTCGGGGAGGAGGAGAAGGGGGGGAGGGGAATAGCCTCGCGTGGGTTGCAGCCACGTGGGAGCTCCCAGCGCCTCCACTTGGGGGCGTGGAACGCGGGGCCCCGGCGGGTTCCGTTGGGTTCCGCTCCCAGCCGCCTGGGGGCAGCAGCGTGCTCCCCCCTGGGGTCTCCTCCCGCATGCCGGGAAGGCTGTAGCCTGACACAGCCCCTCTGCTGTCTTCTCTTCAGAAACCTTGTGTTTGTGAGGGGCCCTCTAGAATAACCACTAACCCAGCGATTCCCAAACTCGGACAGATCGCATACCACCGATTTAATACCAGACAGCCTTAAGTACCACCAGCATGTTTTTCAGTTCAACCTTAGGTACCACCACCAACTCTTTGGCATTATAATACATCTGTTAACGCCTACCACTGACAGGTTGACTGTGTACCACTGGTAATACCCATACCACGGATTGGAAACCGCTGCACTAACCTAATCCTGCCTTTTAAGACACTCTCAAGAAGAACTGGAGCCAATACAGGCATGGGGTGGGGTGTCTTCTCCCCACCCTGGAGCCATCAGTGGATGTAGTACCTTTTAGGACATCTCTTTGGACTGGGCTGAGATGGGCCAAGCTGACAAGTATCTGGTCCAATAACTTGGAATAAAAACTGTGGTTTCCAACAAACTTTTTTTTAATACATCAGCACTGAGGTTGGAGCATGAATGTTTTAAAACAGCAGTAAAATGGACCTGGGAGAGGAATGGGAAGAGTTTGAAACCAATTGTTTTAATGCAGAACATTTGGAGAGGGAGGAGAGGGTGGAAGATGAGGTTGTGGGGGGAGATACTTTTTTTACACAGAAAGCAGTAATGCAACTGGGTAGTTCTATAGGAATATATTGCTTATACCACTAGGGAAAACGTACAAATTGTGTAACACGTTTACAGTGAATTCTTTTTAAATTAATCAATACTGCTTGGTACTTGTACACTTTAATGTGTGTGTTAGTTCTCTGGGTACATGGGCAGTAGACCACAGACTATCAAATGCTCCATCTTCGTAGTTATGGGAGTGGATGCAAAGGTGAAGTGTCAATTGACAGATGGTGTAGATGTGCTAATAATAGATGGAGGGTATTTCAGAAATGTGAAACAACCTTATATCAAGAAATCATTCTTTTCTTAGCTTTGCTGTATTAAAATTAGAAGCTTTTTTTTACATATTTGTACCTCACTGTGAAATCACAAGTTTTTATATGTTATTCTAGGTTTCACAATGTCTTTCTCTGCTAATTGGGTAACGATAAAGTGAAACCGTAATCCTGAGTTACTCTCTTGCAGTAGCATGTGGTCAGTTCTTTTATTTGAATTTGTTTTGTTGTCAGAGCAGCATTCATTATTTTAAGATCAACTTTACCTTGTTTCTTGGATTTTTACTTCCCTAAGCATATACAAAGTGTAGCTTTGTTACTATTAAATATTATGGTTTAGTTTGCATTAATAAACTTTTTGTGTGGTCTAGAAATGAGATGATTAAAAAGGTCCTAACTGTGGTGATGCTTATGCAAATATTTTTTTGAGGGAGTTCAGTATATGGCTGAGAACATTGCTACTTCTGGAACCTCAAGTGAACTCAAAGAAACTGAATAGTAAGGAGGATTGATAATGAAATATGGAAGCATTCATCTCAATGTAATGGGTTCCATTTCAACCTATGATGGTGAATAGAAGTTTCTTAGAGTCTCCACAGAAGTTCAGCAGCCTCCAGTGATGTGAGGTAGTCTTTATTGATTCAGTTTCTAAGGAACAAGTGTTTACAAAAGGCAGCATAATAACTGGTACTCTGATTGAGAGTCTAGTGACTGAAAATAAGTCTTTAATCCCCTATATAGAGTTTCTCCACATTAGAGTCCAAATACACTGGTGAGTGAGTATAGGGATAGTTTGTCTTAACCTTTACCTATTATGCAGTGGGGAGATTTCAAAGTGAAATCCTGGCCCCTTTGAAGTCTATAGCAAAACTATAGACTTAGTGTCCCATTTTGAATCCTCTGTGCCCACCAAGGGCTATATTTTGCATGCAATATAAGAGAAAATTCCATCAAACTCAGTGAGATTTTTGATACAGGATTGAATAGAACGTGTATTGAAAGAACACAGAACCAGTCTTTAAAAAAATAATTAAAAGTCTAAAATTCTAGGCTATGTTATTTCGTAAGCAGGTAGTGTAGTATGAAGGCTGCATATGCCCATCAGTGGGACAACACCGTTATTGCTAGAAGTTACTGGAGATCATTGAATACCATTAAACTGTATATCACACTGACCTTAGCTCTATCACTGGATATTCTTCCAATGGGAGATGCGTAAATGCTGTACATGGTTATAATAGATTATTTCAATAAAACCATTTTCTAAACGGAAAATCAGTGTCTTAAGATTGATTTGAAAATGATACAGCGTGAAACAAATGGTTTATTTTCATTATTTGTAACTTTTATACTAACAAAGACTGTGACTATGTTAAGGTAGGCCTTTATGTAAAGCCACTGAGGGCCACAGAAGGTACAGCTGGAAGAGAATGGATTTGTAAACATAAATGAGGGCCCAATTCGGTCTGTAAAACCTATAATCTGAAAAGTTAGGTTTGTCGATACAGAAAAAAGATGGAAGCCTATTGGAAGTTAAAAATGTGGGAAGAGGATAAACAACACTGAATTAAATATTAGAATGAATAAAGTAACAAAACTGTAATTTCTATGAACATATGTAATCCAGTTATTGTAGAATTTAGTGAAAGGTAGTGTGTTGCATACATTATGTCTTGTTTGCGATGGTTTGTGGTGCCAGGATCTTTTTTCCTGTCATCAGTAACTACTTAAGACTTCCGAACACATGTTGGGCTTTCTCATGCATTAAATAGTACTCACTAATTTGTGCCAATGCTTAATTTTCCTTGTGTGTTTCATTTCTGTATCTTAATGATACTTTCAATATTTGATAATCTGCAGTGATTTCCTCATCAATTCAGATTTAAAGGGGCTCCACTGTGTTGACAAATGGCTTGAAACAGTATGTACAATGGGAGGCAGACGTAAGCTGAGAGCTGGTCAAGGGTTTTAATATTTAAACAGAAAAAGGGTTGACTGGTGTTTAAAATTGTGTTGGTGTTTTCAAAAGGAGAATGCTAGGAGACATTGCTAAATAAAAATAATTTCTGTTTAAATATAGTTACTTTGCTCAGGAGCTATTTGTTATTGAAATGTCACTTGTGTCACACTGCCCCAAGGGGAATGTGCAGAGAGCAGGTCTCTTCACCAGGAACTATCCTGACATTGGAGCATCTATGCCTAAGGAAGGATAGTTCTCTAGGCTAGTTCTCTAGCCTTGTAATAATAGCTGGAAAAATAGTATAAGGTCAAAGCTTCCCTTTTCTTTGATACCTATATACAATGGAGCTAAGGTGGGAAAGAGAATTGGACACACTTACCTTTACTATTGCAATAGCTCAGGCCCTGACTCACCCTGTAATTGAATATATTAAGACACAGCCGGTTTTTAAATCTGAGAGAAGTGAAAGGAAGCGTATGGTTAGGGCAGCTCTAGGCAACTGGAAGTTCTGGAAAAATGCTTACTTTTTCCTCATTAATTTGGATTGAGCAGCTTTCAACCTGTGCCCACTCTGTAGTAGAAAACAGTTCACTGAAAGTTGCTAACATCCATCTGCAATGACATTATAAATGTGCAGCAAGACAAACATCCCGTTAATTATTTTAACGTCTTATTTTTGTGGATTTTGTACATTTCCAGTCTAGATGAATTAATTGCAAAATGGTTGCATGTAATGAGGCTCACTTCTTGCATTTGGGACACATTTCATGTTTAGATTTATACTTGTAAATGCTTCTCATGTATTTATATATTTCAACCTGTTTGTATATCTTGTAAATTTTTATTTATCTTAGCATGGTAAAATTGCACCTTCCATTCACATTAGCAGAGGTCTATCTGAAATTTGCCCATCATGTTCACCCAAAGATTTTTAAACCCCCCACTCCCACACACACATCTGTGAGAGGAACAAAAGGCATTTTCATCTGCCCGCTACTTTGTCATAGTAGGTGTTGAAGTGCAGAAGTTGACAAATTTACTAACTTCCTGACTAAGGCCAAATCCTTTAAACATAAATATACTTCCAAACCCACAGAAATCTGTTTTAGGACACAAAAGCCATGACATCTGGGCATCCATCATACAAAAGTAATGTTTCGCCCCCCTCCCTAAGACACGGCATTAGGGTTGTTTGTTTTTTTACATTTTTTGTTTTTGTTTTACAGGATGGTCATTGACTTGTCCTCCATTTTATTCTGTGTCCAAAAGGCTAGTTAAAATGTCAGATGGAAAGCTAAGTATGGGTTAAGAGCTGCTGAGTAGTCAGTGGAGCTGCATTTGCTTAGAGTTTCTGAAAATCCAATCCCATATTTAGATGCCGAATTATGGGTTATGGCTTCATTGGAGGCACTCAACTTTAAACATTTTTCTTTGAGTTACCAGAGGCTTTTCAGATGCATAGGCTCCTTTTTTTGGCAGCTCCTTAACTTCCAGAATGATGCAAGGCATTTCCTATTCTTCATGGAGTGGTGGAATTCTGTATATATAGTTCAGTGGTTGCTACTTTTATTGTTTTTCATTGTTTTAATTTTCAATGGAAAACGATCCTACTTGTATAATCCCACACACAAAACTGTTTATGTTGAGGTAAAAGTTGTTAGATAAAACTTTGTCCCAAACCTAGATTGGCTACAATATGGTTTCTGTACTATTTAGGAAATCTCATGGGAATGGGTGATCTGTTAGCGAGTGTGCTATGCTTAGCATTAATAAATTATGTAGATTAAATCTGTTCATGCATGATGTGTAATATAGGCTGAGTTCAAGGATA